ATTTTCACTTATTTTTGATGAGTTGAATGAAAACAATATATTCGCTGGATTTTATTTCACTAAATAATTCCTTCAGCAAAAGTTAATTCCAAACGAAATAAATTATTCCACAGTACATAATGTTATGTCTATTTTTTTCAAAATAAGCAAAAAAAATAATAATAATAAAGTACATAAAAATGTGCAAAAGGTTGCACCAAAATTATGGTACAAAAAATTATGGAATTGTATCCACATTTTGTCCACATTGAAAAGCTAATACTGTGTGTACGGAGATTAACAAAGTGAAATGGATTATCTCTGTTTTGTATATTATCTCAAGAGAATTTATTAATATTGAAGGTGGTGATACAAGGGTGTAAAGCAATTACATGTATACTGACAGGAGTTAGCATTCCCAATAGATGCTGATTGTGTAAAATGAACAAATTAACATGCTAACAAGACTTGTAATAACCAGTAATTACAGTAGACGCCAAAAGCAAAAGCCAGAGTTTTAGGATAAAACCATTTTTTTATTGGGATTTGTATATTTGAAGTGAAAGATTTGTGTGAAAATTGAAAACTGTGAATCGTGAAAGTGTTCCACTGTGAATCGTGAAAGTGTTCCACTGTGAATCGTGAAAGTGTTCCACTGTGAATCGTGAAAGTGTTCCACTGTGAATCGTGAAAGTGTTCCACTGTGAATTATTATTTGGTCACAAACGTATCAAATTTTATTTCAAATTCAAGAAACTGTCATCAAATAAAGTGAGATTTTGAATATGCAAATGATGAACTTACCTCGGGATGTTTTTCTGATCAGTTCAATTTTGCACCCACTGTAAGACAAGACATTGGCACTGCATTGAAATTGCTATTGTTCAGGGTTCTCCCCAGAAAATGTAACCACTATAAAATTGAAAATTTACATAGTTTGCATAACATTTGCATAATTGTTCCAAAACAAAATTATGATGATTAACAAACTCATTAAAACACTCAATTACACAATGCACATAATTATTTTATTACAAAACTCTTATTGCATCAAGAGTAATAAAACTACACAAAAGTTTTCAGTTTTTAGCAATTTATTGATTTTTATTTTATAAGTCATCAATGGCACAGTTGTAATAAACCACTGTGACAGTCAGGATGAGACTACCACACTGCACTGTTTGTATCCTAGTGAGAACATTGTTGTTATTTTGGTGTATATTTGGCATTCACACACTCTCCATCACTGATGATACCCTGACATTTGTGATCAGTCTAGAGCATGATTCAGCAAACCTGTTTCATTTCTCTAATGGCGTTTCAAGTGTTCTGTACATTTTATTGAAATTGCTGCAGGCAAGAGCTCACTGGAGTAGCAGTGTGTGAAAATTGTATTTGAGTTTTGTGATCACTGACACCATCTTTGTTTGCACAGCTCTGGAGACAGTTGCCGGGTTACTGCATCTAGATGAGTATCAACTAAATGATGTTATGACACAGAAATCAATGATTCTAAGAGGTGAAGAAATTCTTACACCATTGGAGATTGACCAGGTAGGTTGCAGAGAAACATTTAGTATTTTTCTTGTGAAGAGACAATAGAAAAAAGGATAGTTCTTGTCATAACTTAGTCAGCCATTCCTCAGGCCATTTAAGAACTGCAATTTTCTATCATGCTTGGCCACAGAAATGCAGTGTTTTGAAAAATAAATGGAAGCTATTGACATAAATATGCAAATCAAAGAGTGTTAATATGCAAATTAGTCACCATATTTGGGCAATTTAGCCAGTGAGAACTAATGTATTCCAAGATGTGTTGATGAAATCTAAGTTGCATTGATTGTATCACCGTAGTTCATGTAATGCTGAACCAAAGCAACATTTGTGTTACCATAAAAACACATATTGGAATAAAATGTAAAAAAACGCTTAGACCACTCCCATGTAAAAACAAAATGAATTTCTACCTACCAGTATAAGGACTATACACATGTAAAATCAAAATAAATTTCTAGCTAACAGTGTACCGGTAGCTGTTATCGTGAATAAAACATTGGCCAGGTGACCTGGCAATAATCTGTTTTTACTTTTACTGTCAAATGTTAAGTTTTTCTGGAGTTTGTGTGTGGATTGAAAAAAATACGCAGAATAAGCATGTCATGGTTTTTTAATGGATAATGTGACAATTCTTGTTTGCAGGCAAAGGATTCCCGTGATTCATTAGCAATGAATCTCTATGCTAGGTGCTTTGAATGGATAATTAAGAAGATCAATTGTACTATCAAAGGCAGCGAAAACTTCTGCTCCATTGGTGTCCTCGACATATTTGGTTTTGAAAACTTTGAGGTAAGTAAATTAAGTAACTATTGATATGTGATTCATGATCCAATGTGCATTCCGGTAGTTCACAAGTGATAGATTCAATTTATGCTAACTTAATTGTTATAGTTAATTGGGCTGTCCTTGAAATGTGCGCTGTGCAATTTCTAACATTTCCTCTCTCTCATACATACTTAACCAAACTTAACCTTTCCACCACCAGTTCCCATTTTTCATCACAAATATTCCTGTTTATAGTCTGCACTTTCCTTCAGAAGATTCAAACAAAAATAGCCATTTTTTCTTTTAGTAAAAACCAAAAATTTATTAAAATTTTGTCTGTCTATTCTAAAATTAGGCTTCTTAATTAGCATCATACATTTTTTATGATGATAAAATTGGTGTAAAACTATTTCGTGGGAAATATTAAAAACATTAAAATTTCAATGCTTTTCAGAATGCTGATAATCTTTTCTTCTTCTTACTGGATTGTGTTAAATTTTCTTTTCTACATGAAATGCTTTTGAATAGTGTCCCAACATTTGTAGATTCATAAAGATTCCCCTTTGTTTTGATTACTGCGGTCACAATCCTGATAAAAAAATTTCTACGGTGTGGGTAAATTCAGACTATCAAATAATTCACTTGAAAGACGCGCATAAAGCAATATGTGAATGTTCTGAGTGCAATATTGAAGTAAATTATTTATTAAATATATTAATAAAGTGCTAATGAAAAGAATATTTGCTGAATATGTCCAGATAAACTGACTGTGATCTTAATCTTAGCGTTCTTGAATTCATTTTCAGGTGAATCGGTTTGAACAATTCAATATAAACTATGCTAACGAGAAGCTGCAGGAATATTTCAATAAACATATATTTTCCTTAGAGCAGCATGAATACAATACAGAGGGAATCAGATGGGTTGATATAGATTGGTCTGATAACTGTGAATGCCTAGATCTTGTACAAAGGGTAGGTAACATGCTCGGTCATGACCATACTTGAACATATTCTGATTATCAGGGATATTACTACTTTGACTTCTGTAGTTGACTGGCCTTCTCAGCAGATGAGAAACCTAAATTCTGCTTACTTAAGACAAAGATGTTCTGTTGGGTGGTGGCGTAAAGTTGTTCTGTGGCTGTTATTGCCCCTTTTATTCTTTATTTTTGCAATGTGTAGTAAATTACCACATAATGACTGGAAACTTGGTAACGTCTTCAAATAAATAAATAAATGCTAGAAGATATATGAAAATATATTTCATGATGTACCAGTATCAGACATGATATAAACCATGCCTAAAACTTTTTTTTTTAATTTGTTTCCAAAGAAACTTGGTATCTTAGCCCTGATTGATGAGGAAAGCCGATTTCCCAAAGGAACAGACCAATCCATGCTGACAAAGTTACACAGAGCTCATTATGTAAGTAGAAAATTTAGGATATTTGTAAATAACTTGAATTCATGAATTGATGGCAGGTATATATATATGAAAAATATATTTATTAAAAGGTAAATTGCCCTGAAATTCTTTTGAAAATTTAATTTCACCTTAATTTTTTTCAAAAATCTGATAAAAAAAGCCATGATACTCACACCCTCAACAGACGCATGCGGTAACAAGAAACAGAATATTGTTTTTCAGGGTACAGGTATTATAGTTTCACTTAAAAAATCCAGTGAAATGTTTCCTATTTCCTATTTCCACATGGAAAACACGCTATGCACATTTAAAAACAAAAATCGATTTAGAAAAAAAAAAATGTGTTGTGTAAAGTTACATAGGGAGTACATTGTGCTTGTTTGCATGTGGATCGTGTGGTCCATTATAATATCAAGTTGCATTTAAAAGTGGTGGCCATTTTGTATTGTATTGTCAAGTACATCCCACTCAAATATATCACTTGCAACTTTTTACAATGTGTCTCCTCCCACAATTACACCACCTATACCGTAACTGATTACATTTCACCAGATGACATATGAGCACTTGCAACAGCTCTAATTGACCATGCACATCTGATACATTTATTATTACGCCCATACATACCTCCAGTATTTTTTTTAAAACAAAAGAATCAATAGTACTGGTAAAGACGACTTGTTTCTGTATATCCTGTGAACTTACTCGCCGTATTACACGTGCATATCAGTTTTGTGACTTCTGTATTGCATCATAGACCTTAGAGAACATATTTCCTAAGGTCTATGTTGGCATGAACTGCACCATCACATATGCATACCGATAAATATCTTCGTTTACAGTGTATCCCTCATTCACAAGCAACTTAAGTCTCATGAAATAATTTGTTGCCTTTAGTGTGTGTAAAATAGGACAATGTCGTTTTAGACTAAATTTGTTACTGGATGTTAATAAATAAAAAGACAACCAGGACCCCATACCCTTGAACAAGTCTAAATGAAATTGCTGGAAACTTGCATATATTTGTTACAGTAATAATTTTTAAAATGTTTAAAAGTCTCTCTACTATTTTGTTTATAACTTTAGGAGAATGCCTACTATATAAAACCCAGGATCACCAATAGTAAATTTGGCATCAAACACTATGCCGGAGATGTGTTTTATGAAAGTAATGGATTCCTGGAAAAGAACAGGGACACATTCCGAGATGATTTGTTGATGGCGTTAAAAGAAAGCAGGTGAGAAGAGTTGCTTGAATTAGTTTACTTAAAGCTATACGATGTTTGATCTATTAGAAGGGAATTTTGAATGAAAGTATACAAACAGTCACATTTTATTAAATTGTTGTAACAATGTATAGGTAAACTACTATTGTAAATACCCGTAGTACCGGTAGTTTATGTGTGGTTATTTCTGATGGTTTGGTATTAAGCTGAAATTAATAACTCAAATTCTGTGACACACAATCTCATAAAATATTGTCTATGTTGTTAGTTTTTGTATAGACTGTTTTCTATAGTCTATGGATTTTGAAACCTAAGTGAAAGCCAGGGGTTTTTTGACATAGTAATTTGCTGTCAGCTCAAAGATTAGTGTCAGATTAAGCCAAACTATTCCACAAAACACGGATATTAATCCTAATTGTCTGCAAACGTATCTTTAAGTACCAAATTGAATAGTGCTCTCAGATTAGGTGAAGTACACTTACAGGTTTAAAGTAAATCACTGGGTAATTGTGAGTTCAGATGATAAAGCTATGTACAACATACAACTGTCACAATTCAAGTATCATCTTAAGATGGAATGTCTATTTCCATCACATAATTAATAGAGTTCACTTCTAATGTCCAAATTATGGTATTAAATTATGATAATACATACCTATGTAATTTATGCAAGTGCAATTGATGCCAAAATATTTGGTTCATCAGACACGCCCACCTTAGTTCACCAGACACACCCACCTGAGTTCACCAGACACACCCACCTGAGTTCACCAGACACACCCACCTGAGTTCACCAGACACACCCACCTTAGTTCACCAGGCACACCCAACTTAGTTCACTTGACACATTCACCTTAGTTCATCAGACATATCCACCTTAGTTCACCAGACACACCCACCTTAGTTTACCAGACACATCCACCTTAGTTTACCAGACACATCCACCTTAGTTTACCAGACACATCCACCTTAGTTTACCAGACACATCCACCTTAGTTTACCAGACACATCCACCTTAGTTTACCAGACACACCTACCTTAGTTTACCAGACACACCCACCTTAGTTCATCAGGCACACCTTCCTTGGTTCATTTGAGTTTGAGTGACAATTAGAGAAGGCAACACTGATTCATCAGGTTGAAAAGCTGGTGAAATGCCCAGAATAACATTTTACATCTATTCTTGCCTTACTTTACTTTATAGTAGTGTAGATCTCTATTATACCGTTTGTGAGCATTCTAACATTTGACATGGTGTTTTGCAGGTCTGATTTCATATATGATCTATTTGAGAATGTCAAAGCTTTAAAAGCCAACAATACTAAGACTATAAGGAAGAAAGCAACAGTCAGTGCACAGTTCAAGGTAAGTAAACCTTATTACAGTTCGCCAATATTCCACATCACTGCAAACCATGTGTTATAACAAAAAAATAAATAAATAAACATTTGGTTCATTCACAGGAATCCTTAAACTCATTGATGAATACATTGAGTTCATGTAATCCGTATTTTGTGAGATGTATCAAACCTAATTCTAAAAAGGTAAATATTTTTTTTATTATGTCCTATTACCTTTGTGGTCACAATATCACATGACACTGAAACCTACAAATAGTCTCAAGATGAACAAAATGATGGATTTGATGAAGTACTAGGACAAAAATATCACATGACGTACACTGAAACCTGCAAATAGTCTCTAAGATGAACAAAATGGTGGATTTGATCTCAGACTAGTAATACAACAGACTTGCAACGCGGCGTTTTCTTTTTAAGTAATGCGTGGCACGTTTGTTTAGGTTATCAGTTCTTATCGTACCGAGTGAACGTTGCAACAACAAGATTTTCATTAGATCTCACAAAATAACGCGAGATCTATTCTTATTACAATCAACTATCGCGATGCATCGTGAGACATAAAGACAGGAAGTGGCATAGACGACAGTAGTTGTCAGTGAACTTCGAAAATGGCATTTACGGTTAAATTTGGCGAATCTGAGGATGATAATTACGAGTGGGAAGCTATTTTAGGAGAACATTTTGACGATGATAATGACAATTTCTCTGAAGAACTTGGCAACCCCTGAGCGTTCTCTTGTTTTTCATTTCCTGAAATTAAGAATAAAAAGAAATATACTGGGCTATTTTTATACAAAACTATGACGGAAGTCAAACAAAATCAATGAAACTCGAAATAGCAACAATACTGACACACAATAGAAAATTGAAACAGTCACTGAACAATGCGTAGATCGCATACTATGAAGTCAAACGCGCCAAAATTACACACCTCCAGTTTTTACCGTTACCGGATCACGCTGATGCGCTGAGAGATATCATGTACATACACTAGCTATCCCATGTTTCGGCATCCCGGAACACAAATACAAAACGGGTAACACACAAAGAAGTATGATCGTTCAAAATGCAGCGATATGCTCTCTCCGAAAAAATATTGGAAACCTTCCACAAAATCCGCAACAGCGAGAAATATCATTTCAAAGTTGCTCATTATATATTCAAAAACTATTTGAGGTAAACACTAAGACTATTCAGTTACTTGTAACTCCCCTGATTGTTGGTCGATTCTTAAAATTCTTACACAGCTGCAAAGTTCAAAATGTCCAGAACGCATCTCCCGTTTTTTTTAAAAATATCTGGATCCGGTTTACGAAGAAATACGCAATTTCCGAAGAAGCGCGAAGTGTGCAGAATATCCAGTGTTCGGTAAACTTCAACGGTGTCTATGCCAATGCTACAGAGCGTGGCACACATAGCATATACAATTAAGCCGATTAACACCTTTAACAATAGGCGTTGCCAGTCTGTTGTATTACTAGTCTGAGATTTGATGAAGTACTAGGACAAAAATATCACATATGACGCTGTAACTCACAAATAGTCTACGAGATGAACAAAATGGTAGATTTAATGAAGTACTCAGACAAAAATATCACATGACACTGAAACCTGCAAACAGTCTACAAGAGGAACAAAATGATGGATTTGACGAAGAACTAGGACAAAAATATCACATGACACTTAAACCTGCAAAATGTTGTTTGATTTTTTCAGCTTCCTGAGATCTTTGAAGCCCAGCTTGTTATGAATCAATTAAAGTACTCTGGTATGTTAGAAACAGTAAAAATAAGACGAGCTGGCTTTCCAGTTAGAAGATGTTTTGAAGACTTTGTCAGAAGGTGAGTTTACTTATCTCAATTGTGCCTAGAATATCTAGATGTAAAATGTTACTCCTGATGTTGTCTTCACTTTAACCTTTTCACCTCCAAACTTTTCTCACCCATTTCTTTCTGCACTTTTTTCTTGTATTCTTTGATATTTTTGGAAATGAATCCTAATTTTGGAGCCAACAGACAAAATTTTAGTCAATTTTCAGTTTTTTTCAAAAAAAATTCAACATTTTCCATTGCAGGTACAAGATGTTGATTCCATCACAGCATGCAAGTGAAGAAATGCCAGAAATCTGCTTATATATTTTAGAGAAATATGATGAAAATAGGAAAAACTGGCAGCTAGGAAAGACCAAAGTGTTCCTACGAGAACAGTTAGAATATCAGCTGGAAGTGGAAAGAGAGAAACAGTTGCATGCATATGCCACAGTCATCCAGGCATATACAAAGATGTTTGTCTCAAGGTGAGTTGTAAAATTATATTATTGTGTATGTTCTTTATTAATAAAATATAAAAAACTTGATTCATGGATACTTACCACCACTGTGGAATATTTGCCTTCAATCATTTATTTGTTTGTCCACAGAAAGAAGTTTAGAAAGATTGTTTTTCAGATTGTGGCTATTCAGAAAACGTTCAGAGTGAGTAGTCTTGTTAATTTTTCTATGGAGATAGCTTTTGCAGATGGATCAATGCTTTTTTTTAATTTTTTTTTTTTTAGTTGTAACCATCACTCAATAGTGGTTTTTGTAGTCATTACTCTGCATTCTTTTTTAGGCTTATTTCTATAGAAAGCAGTACTTGCGTACTAGAAAAGCCATCATCAGGTTACAGTGCTTTGGTAGGTCTATAATGGCACGGAATGTATATCTGAAGAAACTGGAAGAGAAGAGAATAGAGGAAGAAAGAATCCGAGAAGAACAGCGGAAAAGAGAGGAAGAAGAACGAAGGTATAGAAGAACTTCCTGAAATTGTGGATTTTGAATTCTTATGGTTGTGGATTTATAGTGTGAATTTCATATGGGAGTTTATTAGATCTGTGGTATAAATCCCTATGGGAGTGGGTCAGATCTGTGTACTGAATCCCTATGGCAGTTTTTTGGTTCTATGCACAGTCAGCTGGCACACACGTGATAATAAAATAAATGCGATATTTACTATATGGGGCCGCCATCTTGAATGCGGTATAAAACTAAATAAGATTTCAGATTCATACAAATCAGGACAAAAATACCAATCTTTCACAGAAATACGATCCGTTGAGGGTGATATTAAAGCAAACGATAACAAAATTCGGCCGAATTCATCGTTTTTGTGTGGAAAAATCCCTTAAATACCAACACCTAATTACACGAAGAACACTTTCCTGGGGTAATTGAAACCAAAAATTGTCATTCCAGCTCAGCAGCCAATCAGCGACGGGCTTACAGTTAGATGACAATTTTGGTCTATGGTCTGAATCTCTGTGGGAGTTGGTCAAATCTGTTTTAATTTTACTTCCTATGAAGTTCATCAGTTCAATGGTTTGACTTTCTATTGGAAGTGCTCAGTTCTATTGTATGGATTCCTATAGGAGTTGTTCAATGTATGGTGTGAACCCCTACGGAAGATGATGCTTTCATAAGTAAATGTGTCAACAGATTTAAGAAAGTGGTGCGCTACTTTGAGTGGTTCTTTCGTTGACGATCAGAACTCATTCTGTTGAACTTTCAGGGAAATGGAGAGGCTTGAACAAGAAAAGAAAATTAGAGAGTTAGAAGAACTGAAGAAAAAGTTAGAAGAAGAAGCAAGACTGAAAAGAGAGCGCGAGGAGGAACAGAAACGAAAGGAAGAAGAAGAACGTCAAGCAGCGATAATACGAGTCAGACAGTTAGAAGAAGCTCGAAGATTGGAAGAAGAAGAGGCAAGGAGAAAGGTAATCTTTTGAAAATCATTTTGTCATTGCAGATTCATCACATTTTTGCACTTCATCAGATTATTTGTAATTTATTTAATATTTGATGTATGTGAAATAATTTATTTTTTAGAAAATGATAATAAAAAAGTCAAATAGTGTGAATTTCTTAACAGTACATAGATGTAACTAACTATAGCACTGTACAATTAAACTTGTGATATTTGTAGATGATTTTTATTTCATTTCATTAAAGCGACAATAGCTGTGATTTTTAAAATATAAAACAAAGATGACCAAATCTTACCTAAATATTGATTTAGATACAATTACATGGACAAAGTGACTCTGAGTGCCGAGTACCATAGTCGTTATTTTGTTGAAATTGGTCATGTTGATGTAGATCATGGAAAATTTCCATGCACGAAACACTATGATGGCAAATGACACATAAAATCATCAGTGACTGGCTGTCAGACAGGCATAGCTGCCATCATATGTCGTAATCTCTGAAGTTCCCTTGAGATCTGGACACAATCCTGCGGCCATCTCTTTTTCTTGAACGTGATTTAATGTACAATGGTGTGGTATATAGCGTATATGCTATGCTTTCAGTGTCCACATTTTGGTGAATGTCATTACAAACATCACAGGCAGTAATGACACAGGAAATGCTTTAGTAAAAATAAAAATCAGAGAAAGTTGATAGTTACAGCTATTGGCGTGGTATCACTGGTGGTGGGTGCATTGGCTTGCATGGCAATGTGTATTTTGTGTCCTATACTTTCTATTGTGTTGTTACTGCTACACAAAAAGTTAACATGCTGCTTACTATGCTTGCAATTATTGTTTGTTTGCTTTCAACCGCATTAATACTAGTTTTGCTTCTGCTTTATAACTTCTCATTTGCTCCATTTTCTTTTATCACATTATCATCAGAGGATTGAACAGCTGGTAAGATTTCAATATTTTTTTTATTTTGGCTTTCTGCTTTTATTCATATTCCAAAACATTTTATCACTACTTAATTTATTAGATTAAGTTTTTTGGAACAATTGTTTATTATATTAAACAATTGGCAGATACACCTGGTGACACATGAACAATGAATAGGCATATATGACAGATACATC